TTTTTATCATAGGTACTCTTCAACTGTGAGTGATGGAATCTAAAACAAAAATCCAGAAAAATACAATGTATGATTTTTAAATAATTAATTTAATTACAGTCATCTACAAGCTTTGCAAGTGGGAAAACCTGAAAAATCAACAGTGTATCAAATACTTGTTCTCCTCACTGTATATCCACATTTACCTGGAACTGACAACACAACACACCTCTCCTGACACTCCTCCATTTAAAGAGTCAAAAATGTCTGACATGTGTGACTCCTTTCTGAGCCATCAGAAATTATGTCTAGATGCAGGAAATGGAGGAATTTGAGTCAGAGACGCTCCTAAACAAGGTAGTGAAGTGTAAAAACTTACTTGTCTCATTGTCCTCATCATTTGAGTCACATACAAAGAGGAAGGACTGCAAAACTGTCAGAGCAGAGTGCACCTGCAGTTGTAACAAAAGCTGAACTGGTCAGACAGGAAGTTAGGTCTAAAGCAAATGATGGCTGTCCATCACCTCTCATCCAGTGATGAAGAGCCTAATGCACACATGCAATATATTTTTTTATTTTTTGTAATTTAATTTTATTAATTTCTCTAAAAAACAACATAAATTCTATATACAATTAAAATACAAATCATAAATTAAATGAAAGGTAGCAGAAGAAAAAAAATCCTATATCTGCCCCTTTTTCTAAGAATATATAAATTCAAACAAAAATAGTCTTCAAATAACATGCAATATTTTTGTAAATGTATGAACTGCAGAGGTGTCAAGTAACTGCAGAGTTGTCAAGTAACTAAAATACTTTGTTACTTTACTTAAGTAGTAATTTTGGTTATTTATACTTTAGTGGAGTAATTATTTTTCAGCCTACTTTTTACTTCTACTTCTTATATTTTAATTCAATTATCTGTACTTTCTACTCCTTTTTAAAAATGCAAAAAGTATTTCATTTCTATTTAACTTTGACTTGTTTTTATTCCATCTTTTCATTGTTCAGAAAAAAATTAATAAATATAAATGTATCCTGACACACGGAGCCCATGGATAGAGTGAATCTGATTGTGGTTGATGAGAAATGTAAATATACACCATCCTGACATCCTATTGGACTGAACTCACTCCATCACACCTGTGTGACACAAATCACATCACATTCCAGCTGGACAGACTGTAGCACAGTGATTCCCAACCAGGGGTGCAAGCACCCCTTGGGTTACGCGAGCATATTACGGGGGTATGTGGGAAAATTTCCCAGGTGCTCAAAAAAAATAAGTAATAATAATAATAATAATAATAGCAATGCGGAAATCACGGATTTGACACAAAATGGAATCCAGTATAAAAAGCAGAATCTCACAGAATTTGCTCATTTGCGTGAATTTCTGATGTATTTTGGATGTTACAATGTATTTTGGACGTTGCTGTTTTCTGCACCTGCCATTACCTGGCTTACTTGTTTAATTACTTATTCACTTTCAAGGCAACAAATAAACAAACCCTGAGGCACCGCCTAAGATTTTATCTTTAATGGCCTTTTTTATAGTGTTCATTACTTTTACTTTTATACTGTAAGTAGTTTTAAAACCAGTGCTTTTATACTTTTACTTGAGTAAAAAGCTCAAGTTGATACTTCTACTTCCAAAAAAGTATTTTTAAACCCTAGTATCTATACTTCTACTTAAGTAATGAATGTGAATACTTTTGACACCTCTGATGAAATGAACCGGAGGCGCAGATCTGCCTGCGGCACATTTCTGAGGCTGAGACATTTCCAACTTTTATCTATGTATTTAATAACAAAATTACAGTAAACATAGAAGCACTCAGATGCTTGATTGACCAAAAAGGATTATTTATTTAGTAGTTTATGACTAGTGTGTCTTTACATCTGCAAGTGACAAAAATAAAGGAAACCGTTCAGTTTACTTTGGACTATTTTTGAGGCATGTTTTATGTTTGTTGTACGATGTGGTTCAGTTTCCTCATTCAAGTTTAGG